TCTACACAGGTTCCGACTGTTCTACATTGTGCGTGTATTTTTCACCTTTGTTTAGATACCTAAACTAAAGTGAATAATACAATCAACGTCTAAATGGCTGGATCCTCCTACTGAAAACGAACTGACCTGGGAAGTGCTGGTGTTAATCTGGATTCTTGAAATGCCTGGAGAGCAAACCATCAATCGAAAATATGATCGCCTCATATTGGGGCAAGGTGTGTGCACATTTCTTCAACATCAGTTGAATTTTATCTGCAGATTTGATTAAACTGATATATCTAGATGCAACTTACACATGAATAAGTGTGACAGAATATGAAGACATCACTCTAAACCCTGTATATTCTGCTACTACTACTTGTACTAGCCACTGTGATGCATTTAGCATTAGGCAAACTGACTCTACCTCCCAGTAATATGTAAATGTCACTGATACTTTACACTGGCACATGTATTGTACAACATTCATACTACAGAATTCATCATGTTCATCTTTAACAAAGTTTATTCTTTTGAATATCTGATAGTGAAACCTACCATCGATCATGTTGATAATTTGTTTTACTATTTTTCAGAAAACCCAAAGGAGTTATCTCCCTGTGAATGGATTACCTCCCATTCAATTTGGCCGCAACAAGCCAGGAATATGGACCCTGCTTTGGTGGTTCTTGCTGATCGCAGAGTGTGTAGTATAGTAATGTTCAACATGTTACGCAGTATTTTGCCATAAATAAATTCCTTTAAAAATTGGCATCAGCTTCTTAATGTAATTGTTACATTAATTATATTATGACCTGCATTTTGCGGACGCAGATGGGCGCAAAACGTTCATGACGTCTCCTATAATATACGTTTTCTTCCGTCGTGATGTTGCAAAAGAAAACAGGATTCATCAGAAAACCAGATGCGCCTCCAGTTTTGTAAAAGTCCATATCCTTACGTTGTTGCACCACCTGAGTCGTCGGCGGAGATGTAGGGGGCGTAGTACAGGTCCAACAACTGGTCACTACAGGCACGTAAACCCGCTTCTTTCAGACGGTTCTGTAATCGTTTGAGCTGACACTCTCCCTCAAACCTGGTATTTGTGTGGCAGTCACGGTTGGTAGGGCATGCCGATTACGCAGGTGATGGACCCGGATGTACCGATCTTGAAGGGGGTCGTGATTCTTGGCCTTCCACTTCTCGGGCGATCGTTGGTCAAATTGAAGTTGTTGTAGCGGCTCAAAGTCGGGATATCGTTGTTTTGTGAACATTTAGGTGCCGTGCAACAGTTCCAAACTTTCTCCGGCGAACACGACCAATGGCGATATTTCGGTCGGCAGCACTCAATCGTGGCATTTTTCACACAGCTTTTTCATGCGACAAATGAATGAATATAATACGAAAGCACATGGGCTTTTATACACCCTACATTAACTGCCATTTTCATGATTTGCATGTGTTTTTTTTGTGCGAAGTCACCATGAGGGTCATTTCATGCGTTGTGGCGGAATAAGCAATAAAATACACTTATGCGTACAAATGCAGTTGTTTGGATGGTAATCTTCATTAATTACGTGTATAATTTCAATACATTCGAATAACATTTAGTTTGGAAGCAATAACTTCATTCAAACGAATTTTTCATATCTGAGGACAGGGGTTGCGTTTCTTTTTTGACAGAGTTTACATTTGTGAAATAAAATACATGTAATTGATGTTGCTATATGACAATAGGTGGCTAATTCATCCTTGTAATACAGAGTCAAGTAAGCAATAGGGGCGATGGGGTAGCCTAGTGGTTAAAGCGTTGGCTCGTCACGCCGAAGACCCGGGTTCGAATCCCCACATGGGTAAAATGTGTGAAGCTCATTTCTGGTGTCTCCCGCCGTGATGTTGATGGAATATTGCTTAAAGCGGCGTAAAACCAAACTCAGTCAGTCAGTCAAGTAAGCAATAAATATTTCTTCTAGCAAGTAACTCTTATAAGCCCTATGTACTACATGTTGCATGATTGCAACACGTAAGGAATTTCAGCATATGAATTATGTGACGAGTCACGATCCACCTGATTAATCAGTGATGCTTCCCAAGCGGTGTGCACGTGAGAGTGTGTGAGGGCGTTTGTGTTTACAAGTGTATTTGTGCGTGTGTAGTTAGGTCTACGTACTCGGAAGGTAAACGTATATCTGATTATTCCCTACTTTCCCCACGCACTTCCTTCTCAGAGGATCAAGGTTTGTGGTTTGAAGCACGCATTAAAGCTCACATAACATGCTGTTTTTCACTTTTATCCGCTCTACGGAACATCATGCCTGTACAACCACCGACAGTGTGGGGTAAAAAGGATGTACGCGGATTGACCACTCTCATATGATGGACCTAATCTGAATGAAGAAAGTGTAGCACTCGCTGAGATGCTTATATGTTTTGTTTACGTACGTATCTGGACTTCTATTAATGAATGGCTGAATCATTTGGCGATAACAGGAATGAATAAACTCGTTTAACAAGATAGTATTACTGAATCGGTTGTTTCAATACCCAGTATTTGATTGATCTCAGAAATTATTCCGATGAAAGTCGATATGCAGATGCCCGTGTGGAAAATCCCAAAACATGAATTTGTTACGAAGGAAACGAAATACGATTTCAAACAACTACTTCGTCCTTTTCGTTAGATAGTAATAATACTCATACATCTGATAAGATGCAACGTTATCAATAATTATGTAAATGAAGTGAATCGTTTTTATCAAACATACACCAAAGGAAAATACTTGTAAATAATCTCGTATTCCGTTTTAAGATTGCAAACCCTCGTACAACAGTCGGAAAACATCGGGCTTTTACGGCTATCTTAGTATGTGTAGGGGATATCCAAGATATATTTACTGCAGTATGGTGTTGTGAATGATCCACGTCGTAGGGTTTCCAAGTAAAATGTATATGTACGATACTGCACATCTGAGGGAATAAAGGGAAGAAAGTTGAACTCTTTCCAGGGTTTATCAACATAGCACGTTTTAGGCGCTTCAACAGATGCAGGGACGCTTTTAAACGGAGCGACAGATTGAAACTGAAAGGCCGAGAGACTCGTATCGGGATACAACAGTCAAGCGTGTTGTTTCTAACTAAGCGTTCTCGGTTCGTTCTCTGAGATGACAAGCTTGTGATGTCCCGCACTCGGCGGTTGGGTAGGCCATACAGGCTATACGCAACAGACAACCATGATAAATGATGCATTGCACGTGTTCGATCATTCTACACAGGTTCCGACTGTTCTACATTGTGCTTGTATTTTCACCTGTGTTTAGATACCTAAACTAAAAGTGAATAATACAATCAACGTCATCAAATGGCTGGATCCTCCTACTGAAAACGAACTGACCTGGGAAGTGCTGGTGTTAATCCGATTCTTGAAATGCCTGGAGAGCAAACCATCCGTCGAAAATATGATCGCCTCATATTGGGGCAAGGTGTGATGCACATTTCTTCAACATCAGTTGAATTATATCTCGCAGATTTGATTCAACTGATATATGTAGATGCAACTTATACATGAATAAGTGTGACAGAATGTGAAGACATCACTCTGCAAACCTTAGTATATTCTGCTACTACTACTAGTACTAGCCATTGTGATACATTTATCATTAGGCAGTCTGACTCCAAGCTCCCTGTAATATGTAAAATGTCACTAGTATGTTGTCACTATGATATTTTACACTGGCACATGTATTGTAGCCAACATCTCATACCACAGAATTCATCATGTTCATCTTTAAAAAAATTTAAAATTTGTTTTGAATATCTGATAGTGAAACCGGGGTAGCCTAGTGGTTAAAGCGTTGGCTCGTCACGCCGAAGACCCGGTTCGAATCCCACATGGGTAAAATGTGTGAAGCTCATTTCTGGTGTCTCCGCCGTGATGTTGATGGAATATTGCTTAAAGCGGCGTAAAACCAAACTCAGTCAGTCAGTCAAGTAAGCAATAAATATTTCTTTTAGCAAAGTTATTCTTATAAGCCCTATGGTAAATTACTACATGTTTGCATGATTGCAACACGTAAGGAATTTCAGCATATGAATTATGTGACGAGTCACGATCCACCTGATTAATCAGTGATGCTTCCCAAGCGGTGTGCGCGTGAGAGTGTGAGGGCGTTTGTGTTTACAAGTGTATTTAGGTCTACCAGGAGACTATATAAGGTAGAGTTGTAGTATAGGTCTACGTACTGCGAAGGTAAACGTATATCTGATAATTCCCTACTTTCCCACGCACTTCCTTCTCAGAGGATCAAGGTTTGTGGTTTGAAGCACGCATTAAAGCTCACATAACATGCTGTTTTTCACTTTTATCCGCTCTACGGAACATCATGCCTGTACAACCACCGACAGTGTGGGGTAAAAGAATGATACGCGGATTGACCACTCGAGAGGAGTTCATATGATGGACCTAATCTGAATGAAGAAAGTGTAGCACTCGCTGAGATGCTTATATGTTTTGTTTACGTACGTATCTGGACTTCTATTAATGAATGGCTGAATCATTTTGGCGATAACAGGAATGAATAAACTCGTTAAACAAGATAGTATTACTGAATCGGTTGTTTCAATACCCAGTATTTGATTGATCTCAGAAATTATTCCGATGAAAGTCGATACAGATGCAGATGCCCGTGTGGAAAATCCCAAAACATGAATTTGTTACGAAGGAAACGAAATACGATTTCAAACAACTACTTCGTCCTTTTCGTTAGATAGTAATAATACTCATACATCTGATAAGATGCAACGTTATCAATAATTATGTAAATGAAGTGAATCGTTTTTATCAAACATACACCAAAGGAAAATACTTGTAAATAATCTCGTATTCCGTTTTAAGATTGCAAACCCTCGTACAACAGTCGGAAAACATCGGGCTTTACGGCTATCTTAGTATGTGTAGGGGGATATCAAGATATATTTACTGCAATATGTTGTTGTGAATGATCCACGTCGTAAGGTTTCCAAGTAAAATGTATATGTACGATACTGCACATCTGAGGGAAAAAAGGGAAGAAAGTTGAACTCTTTCCAGGGTTTATCAATATAGCACGTTTTAGGCGCTTCAACAGATGGAGGGACGCTTTTCAACGGAGCGACAGATTGAAACTGAAAGGCCGAGAGACTCGTATCGGGATACAACAGTCAAGCGTGTTGTTTCTAACTAAGCGTTCTCGGTTCGTTCTCTGAGATGACAAGCTTGTGATGTCCCGCACTCGGCGGTTTGGTAGGCCATACAGGCTATACGCAACAGACAACCATGATAAGTGATGCATTGCACGTGTTCGATCATTCTACACAGGTTCCGACTGTTCTACATTGTGCTTGTATTTTTCACCTGTGTTTAGATACCTAAACTAAAGTGAATAATACAATCAACGTCAAAATGGCTGGATCCTCCTACTGAAAACGAACTGACCTGGGAAGTGCTGGTGTTAATCCGGATTCTTGAAATGCCTGGAGAGCAAACCATCCGTCGAAAATATGATCGCCTCATATTGGGGCAAGGTGTGTGCACATTTCTTCAACATCAGTTGAATTATATCTGCAGATTTGATTCAACTGATATATGTAGATGCAACTTATACATGAATAAGTGTGACAGAATGTGAAGACATCACTCTAAACCCAGTATATTCTGCTACTACTACTAGTACTAGCCATTGTGATACATTTATCATTAGGCAATCTGACTCAAGCTCCCTGTAATATGTAAATGTCACTAGGATGTTGTCACTATGATACTTTACACTGGCACATGTATTGTACAACATTCATACTACAGAATTCATCATGTTCATCTTTAAAAAAATTTAAAATTTGTTTTGAATATCTGATAGTGAAACCTACCATCGATCATGTTCATATTTGTTTTACTATTTTTCAGAAAACCAAAAGGAGTTATCTCCCTGTGAATGGATTACCTCCCATTCAATCTGGCCGCAACAAGCCAGGAATATGGACCCTGCTTTGGTGGTTCTTGCTGATTGCAGAGTGTGTAGTATAGTAATGTTCAACATGTTACGCAGTATTTTGCCATAAATAAATTCCATTAAAAATTGGCATCAGCTTCTTAATGTAATTGTTACATTAATTATATTATGACCTGCATTTTTGTCCCCAGGTATCAACAACTCTTGATTGGTACCATTGTTCAATGACAACTTTGTTAATTACAGGGTGTTCATCTACAGCTCGTACACCATCCTGGCACACCTGTGTCTGGTGGAGGGGAAACTGCCGTTCAGGTCATCATCAGTTGTCCTGTCTACAGAAGTTGTAAAGGTTTGTTGTTGTATAGCCTATTTTATCAATTTGCATATGAAATCCCTTCCTTTAGCAGAACATGTATGTTTATGGACAGATTATTATTACGTTGATGTGTTGTATGTGTTATAGATTGTCTTGTCTGTGGCAATGATGTTCCCGGAACTGCGAAGAGGTGATATCACCGTACCATCACTGGCCAACTGCCTGCCGTTCTTGGTTCCTGCTGTGTTGTACTGCATCAACAATAACCTCAGTGTTTACATGCAGGTGCATATGGACCCCACCACCTACCAGGTAATGCATCTTGTTGGTACTTGGTTCTGTGCACAGTGCATTAATTTACATCATTAATATTCACAGAAATTGGATCTTATTTGGGCTTCAGAAAGTTATGTCTGTTCATTGTTTTTTTATATCAGATCTGAGATTTGTTCATAAATGTTTTACCAGACAGTGCATTTATTGAATTTCCAGATCCTTGGCAACATGAAGGTGATCACTACTGCAGTACTTTACCGGGTGATCATACAAAGGTGGGTATTGGGGAAAGTGTTACAACTTGATAACTGTAGAATCTTTTTAAACATAATAACCTTAAGGAACCTGAGCATGTGGAGTGATAGATATCTGTGAAATGTTTGCCAATCAAGTTAGTGAACCTTATTGCAACATATGCGATATGCGGTGTTTTTGTCTTGTAAATCTTATCCTGGGTGCAAGCCTTGTAGACATTCACACTGGAATATGCCCCATCTGTTACACTGAAGGAAAGTTGCCTATACACATGCTTCAGATTTCTGTGGAACCTCATTTCTCAGGCCCCTGTTGGTCGAATTCTGTGTATACAGGCTAGGTAAACTTATGGAACATTACAGCTTACCTGAGATTTGTTTTGTTTATCTTCAAAGGAAATTATTAACAGATATTTGCTGTAGTGGCCTATGTCGGAGGTATTGATGTTTGACTGCATATGGTTTGTTTCTCCAGGAGGCTGACCTTCATCCAGTGGGCATCATTGGTTGTGCTAGGTACAGCAGGCATGTTTGACAGGTAATACCATCTTCTAATCATACACGTTTGACAGGTAATACTGTCTCTCCTGATACACACGTTTGACAGGTAAAACTATCTTCTGATGACACACACGTTTGACAGGTAAAACTATCTTCTAATGACACACACGTTTGACAGGTCAAAATATCTTCTAATGACAGACGGGGTGGTGGGGTAGCCTATGGGTTAAAGCGTCTGCTCGTCACGCTGAAGACCCAGGTTCGATTCCCCACATGGGTACATTGTGTGAATCCCATTTCTGGTGTCTCCAGCCGTGATTTTGCTGGAATATAGCTAGAAGCGGCATAAAACCATACTCACTCACTCACTCTAATGAAGGACACGTTTCACATAAAGACTGTCTTCTAATGATACACACACACAAGTTCTGAAGCTGGTGTTGGTGAAAGGATAAACCCAATCATTTTTGACATAAATTACTGGGGTAGTAGTATAGGGAAAAAAGCGAGAAAAAGACGTATAGGTGCACCTTGCTTAGAAGCTTCGATACAGGCTAATTCAGCTACCAGCCTAGTAAAAATGAGTGTTTGCCCCCAAACTCCCGACATGGCCGAAGTCTTCGAGGGTCTGCTGGAGAAGTGTCCCCACGTATTGCTTTCGGACCGAGAGAAACAAGTCCTGGAGCAATCGGGGCACACCTTTCTGAAGCGCTACCATATCCCCCACATCTACCAACCCCACCAATTTCAAGCGGGTTTCGATTCTCGCGGCGGGTAAACTCCTAATCATTCTACGCCCGATATGGGTGGCTGACTGCAGATCTTACGAACCTGAACCTGCGGTCCACGCACCAACCATAGGCGTTCTATTCCCGGAAGTACCCGAATGGTTTAGCCAAACCAGCAACTCGTATCTTGTAGCCCGTGGAGCTGGAATCGTTTCCCAGTCGGTGAATCGGTAGCAGCAAAGCCGTTCTTCCCTTCATATCGCTTCCCCAGTCGGTGAATCGAAAGGCAAACCTTTTGCGGCGTGTAGGCGCCTTCTGGGACGTCAGCGGCTTTTCGGTGTTAAGCTGCATGGAGGGGGTGCCTCTTCCATATCCTTGGACCCGGCGTAGTTGAGCAATGGGGTATGCCAAATATTGCCCCATCCCTGTGGTACCTCAGTTTCCCCCGATAGCTGCCGGAAGATACATGTCTCTTTCTCCTTGCACGGACAATGGTCCACCAATTTGCTGATGAGGAGTGCGAACCGTATGCTCCAGGAAGCGCAGGCGCTGTTGTACAGGTTCTCTACATTCATGAAACAGCTGTCGACCATGATCTCTTCTGGAACCTCGAGTGGGAGTCGCTCCTGGGGTGTGTAGTCTATCGCTTTCTTTCCCCAAAGAACGCATTTCTTGCTGTCGACGCAGTGGTCGATGGCACCACACTTGCATGTAGAGTTGTCGGGTGCGAAGAGAGCAGGCAGTTCCGATAGAGCGTCAAGGCAGTCGGTGCATAGGTTGTGCCTGTCCTTGAGTCCCGGATAGCAGTTGTCGGCGAGAATGATTCGGAGTTTACCTGCTGCGGGTCGAAATTGGTGGGGTGTGGGTAGATGTAGACGAAATCGATTATTTTGCCGGCTTCTACTAGTGGGTGAAAGCACAGCAAATACGGTTCGAGAAACTGGTGGGGGATGTGGTAGCGCTCGTAGAAGGTGTGCCCCGATTACTCCAGGACTTGTTTCTCTCGGTCCGAAAGCAATACGTGGGGACACTTCTCCAGCAGACCCTCGAAGACTTCGGCCATGTCGGGAGTACTCGGTGCCTGGGGCTTGGGGTCTATACCACCTCGGATTCGCGTGTATCGGGCTTGCAATATGTGGTACTTCCTCTTCGCTTCCCGAAGGGACAAACGACCCAATCGGATCTCGGTATAGGCTTCGAGCGAGAGCTTGGTTCCTGGCATGTTTCTATATCCATGCACCCACATAGCTCTAATTGGAAGTGCACTTGCGTTTTGAGCCGCCGAAAGTGGTCTTGTCGAAGTTTTTGGGCAAACACTCATTTTTACTAGGCTGGTAGCAGAATTAGCCTGTATGGAAGCTTCTAAGCAAGGTGCACCTATATTTCTTTTTCTCGCTATTCCCTATACTACTGGGGTTGTATACTAGACTATAACTCTCTTTTGCCAGCTATGGAGGTATACAGTCCAAGGGTTTGGCATCGTCTGGAGAGATACACCTTACTGTGGCAGGTCTGATCATGATGTTCTCTTACTGTTGTATATCAGGCTTCGCAGGTGTCTACACAGAATACATATTAAAGAGACACTATCAGGTAATTTATGCAGACCTGTTTTTATCTTGTTGACGTAACAAATTCTATTTTATCCTTTGTCTCCATACTGAAGCAAGTTCTGTATAGGTTTACAAAAGAAACATCTGGTAAGAAGTTCAGCTGTGTCATATTGTGTTTGGACATAATAGCTCACATAGCTCAAGGGACATAACTCCTGTCTGATTTGAAATGGAAACATCCTGAAGGGATCACAGCTGTATTGGATGGGCAGTGAATAGATGTTCATATTTACATATGGACTTTATTTATTGTTTTGACGAGCATGAAATACTCCTTGTAACCATGGTAATTAACCTTTATTTATATAGGAAAATATCTTTTCTGTTTTAATTGTATTTTATTAACACTATCCAAATGCCATTTCATTCACCCTGAGAGACTGTTTCCAAGGTTCATCAGTTTTTAATTTTGCTGTGGCTTCCAGACATCTCTCCATGTTCAGAACACTCTCTTGTACACGTTCGGTATTGTCCTCAATGGTGGAGTGTGGGCTGTGCAGGAGGTTGGGAGCAGCAAGGAAGGAGGTATGATGTTGATGAAGTCCTCATTGACCCATGAAACCATGTAGCTGCTTGTTAGTGTAGGTTGTATGCATTGTCAGTGAATCAAGAAATGGCCTATAGCCACCTGTTTGGCACCCTGTTTTTCACAATTTACCTTTTTACCAAAAATGCCTTTAAAATGTTTTTGTGCATAGGCTCTTTATATCTTATGACCTATCTAAGGTTTCAATTTCATAATTTTATGTCAATTATTAAAGCTTCTTCTTAAGAAGCCATCTTTAAAAATATGAAAAATAGAAGTAGTTATACAAGGGAGTAAAATGATACGATGGAACAGCAAACATGGAGGGACACATGTGCATCATGTTTACATTGTTATGCCTGCAAGCAAATCTAAAGGGACTGTATAATCATCACAAATCCATTTTAAACAAGTAGATTTATTGAAGTCTTTAAAGACTGGTTGCTCAATCTCTTGTATCTATATCCAAATTTGAGCAACAACTTGTGTATGGTATGCTTTAATACATTGATGTCATGGTCTTCTTTTGAACAATATTTTCTTCAGTTTGCTTGACGATATGGACTCATTGGATTGATGTAAACGATGCATGACGTCCCTCACAACCCTTCTATCGAATTCATCAAGCTTTCTTTTCTTTGCATGTTTTGAGACAGCCCTCGATTTAACTGACATGTCATCATCAGGCTCTGAAATAGTGTCATGGGAGATAACTCTTTGCAATGTTCTTTTGCAGATCTTTGTGGCATTAAATGTCTTTTGGAGAAACACTCAATTGAAAAAAAAAGAGTTTTTTTTAACTTTGCCTCGCGCTTGAAAAAAACCTCTTTTGATGATTTGCCGGACATCTTTGAACAACATCGTTTTCACCACAGCCTGTGTATTGACGATCTATGACATCACTTAAGCATGCTAATGTAAATACCCTTGCATGTACATATCACTCTGACACACATATTACAATGTTGTTGGCTTTTCCATCACGTCGTTAACCCCTCGTAAAACTCTCCACAGTTTTACAATTATTATATGACAGGTTTAAAGGCAAAATCTTTAACAGTCGTTTTAAAATTACTAAAATTGATATCTTGTTAGGTCATGGTATACAATTACCATATGAACAGAGTAGTGTTTTAAAATATTCAGGAGTTTTATGTAAATTGTGAAAAACAAGGTGCCAAAAGTTAAGTTGACGGACTATAGTTCCCAAGATTCAGGGTGCTGTTGTACAAAGCTATCTTAGCGTTAAGGTGACCATATCTCCCATACCTTAACATAGACATATAAGGTAGTTTTAGCGCTAAGGTTGTTTTGTACAATGGCACCCTGGAATCAAGAGAGCAACACTGCACAAATGACCGTGTTGGTCTTGAATGGATTATTTATAATATGATCCCGACAGAACAACAGTAATGATAATGCATTAATACATCAGTAAATGTAGTAACATCCTGTCACACAAACTGAGTACCCGTAAATATGTTTGAGAGGAAACAAGGGACCTGTTTTGCCCGTCCAGAAGTATGTTGTAGCTTGGATGATAAACGACAAATTAAAGATATCTTTGGTGCACCCAGACCTTGTTTTTAAAGTACATGTACCTAGTATGTTTTAACAAGGAATTCTGTCAGAATTGGTCCCCACAACCTTTGTTTGTCATTATTGATGACTTGGTAGACCAGATGTTCTGGCTTGGTGACTTTGTTGACTGCATGTCCTTGTAGTCCAACATAGTAGAACATTGCTTATGGTATCAATCACCGGTATGTACTGGTACAACAGGATGTGGCTTCATGTCACCTGGGACAACAAACAGTACAAATAGTATGTGTTCTGGGCAAAAACATTTTTTTGTTTTTGTTTGGAGAGTTGTCACCATTGATCGAATTAAAAATTTATCCTGTTTGTCACAATAGTCAGTGCTAGTCTTATCTTTGTTACTCCACACACTGCTATTGTGCCATAGCACTGCTAGAAGTTCATCATGTCCAGCAACCACCTTGCCTTCCTCATATGATGCAGAGACGACCATCCACATCAAAATGTTGCTCTATGTAATAAACAAGAAGTTAGCAATGAATTTGTCTGCTTCGTTTTCTGCCAGGAAAAGTTTTATGTGTTCTGAAGTAGTGCACCATCAGAACTAGCATCTCCCACTGTCCACCTGTAAACCAGTACCATCATCTGTAGACTGTCTGTTATTTTTGCAGGTGAGAGCTCAGGTATGTTTGATGGATTCACATTCTACACCTGGGTGATCGTGGTCACACAGGTATGGACATGCTCTTCAGGTCATACAATTATAATGTTAGAATCTACAACGTTTTTGAGTCATTAGTACAACAAATATATTTATGTTTGATCCATGTATTATCCATTTTGGTAATAAAGATGCATAGTGTAGTGGACATTTCATCTGTGTTAAGGCATTGTTGAAGTAAAACATCACCATTGTTGAAGTAAAACATCACCATTGTTGAAGTAAAACATCACCATTGTTGAAGTAAAACATCACCATTGTTGAAGTAAAACATCACCATTGTTGAAGTAAAACATCACCATTGTTGAAGTAAAACATCACCATTGTTGACTATTAATCTGTTAATATATAGACCATTTATACTGGTTAAAGTTATGGCTCAAGTAGCTTAAGTGTGCATGAAGAGATGTTACTCAATTAACATATTTTTTCACTGGGATGATTTCTGTTTGAACTCTCTCATCTGGAATATTGGGTACATGTGTATGATGATAAATACAGTAAATACTGAAGTAGATGGGTGCAGTATATAGTCCATAGCACATAAAGCATGTTCAGGTCTGTATTGCTTGTTATTTTTTCTTTCAGGCCTTCAATGGACTGATAATGTCGGCCATCATGAAGCATAGCAGTAACATCACACGTCTCTTCATCATCTCCTGCGCCATGCTGGTGACGACCCTGCTCTCGGTCGCCATCTTCCAGCTGACCCTCAACATGTATTATGTCCTTGCGTTTATCTTGGTTGTAATGGCCCTGTACATGTATCATAGATGAGGCTGTTATGGAACTGTTTATTGAGGCGTGTTTTAATGGGCATGACGTGCAAAGTGATGATGTGAAAGGTTGTTCAATGTTTGATTGTTATGGTTAGAGACTCTGGAGCAGGGATGAGAATTTTCCGCGGATCCGGGAGAATTCCAGGAATTTCATAAGGCCAAGGGTCATTTTTGTGAATCGTCCAAATCCGTTGACAATTGTATGAATATACTTCAGCAGATTTAAAGTTTTTTAATGGTTGCTGTGTTCATGATATTGTTATTTCTGAGCCAGTTTTAAAGGTCTAAAATGCCTAAATATCAGGAGCTTCAGCTAGTTTTCAGTGTTTTTCTCAAAACTTCATTCTCATCCCTGCTGGAGTCATCACCTAGGTTTAGCTGAAACAGTATTGTGTTGTAGCTTCTTACTCTGGAGTCATCACCTAGGTTTAGCTGAAACAGGGTTGTGAGTAGCTTCTTACCAGGGAAGTCATCACCTAGGTTTCAGCTGAAACAGGGTTGTGTTGTAGCTTCTTACTCTGGAGTCATCACCTAGGTTTAGCTGAAACAGGGTTGTGTTGTAGCTTCTTACTCTGGAGTCATCACCTAGGTTTAGCTGAAACAGGGTTGTGTTGTAGCTTCTTACTCTGGAGTCATCACCTAGGTTTAGCTGAAACAGGGTTGTGTTGTAGCTTCTTACTCTGGAGTCATCACCTAGGTTTAGCTGAAACAGGGTTGTGTTGTAGCTTCTTACTCTGGAGTCATCACCTAGGTTTAGCTGAAACAGGGTTGTGTTGTAGCTTCTTACTCTGGAGTCATCACCTAGGTTTAGCTGAAACAGGGTTGTGTTGTAGCTTCTTACTCTGAAGCCTGACATTTTCAAAATTTTCTTTTAGTATATTATGAACAAATTTGTATGTTTTCAATCTGGATCTGTGTTACCTGCAGATGTAACTGTGCTTATACTGAATTTTATACTGTACATGTATCATGGAGTCAAAGAAAACAGCTAAATTTTAACCTTTTTTTGCTGCTGAGACTTAAATTCTAGTTCCAAATTTGTTTCTGTTGTTTATTTTGCCCCAAATGTAGTGCTATACATATACATGTACTTTGAAACTGTTTTATCTTCTTATTGCAAATACACTCATAAAAAGATAACATTTCTCTCAATATTGGCTTCTCTGATGATGCAGTCATACATCAGAGGTGGTGATGGTGATTTTCTACCTCGCTTATTGACCAGTAAGAATCAAGTTATTTCCACATTCATGGTAGAAGTGCCATTTTCAGCAAGTAGTAATTATTTGAGGCATTATCCTGTCTTTTGACTGTGGATAAAGACAATGTTTCACAGCAGTCAAGTCTAACCAGAAATTGTTTCAAGACTGGAAATCCTGACCACATGCTGCTAGAGCAGCAGGGTAAATAATTTGCTTTTCATATTATCATATTACCCCGGTATGTAACCATAACATTTTGCTAGGTATCTTTTATATACTATGCAAATCCATTCATGTAACAGTGATATGTCCATGTGATGTTGCACAGGTATATTTATGTGCAATAATGGAACAAGGTGAAATAGTCTGACATATCCTGACGAGGAGTCTTCAAGAATACACTGAGGTCACAATATGATTTATTGTTTATCTACTACATTGATATGTCATGATGCAGTTCACAATACATACCTTTTGTGTGGATATTTTTGTAATCTTCAATATCACAATTTATCTCTGATCTTCATGAATTTCAAATGACATTACCAAGACAATGAGATTTTATCAAAAGTGCCAAAGTATCAAAAGATGAGATTTTAGACTGTTTTATGTAAGGGTAATAGACATCAATTGTTGATTATACATGTCTATTGAAAATGAAGTGTGTACCTTTTACTGTGTGTGCTGGTGCAAAGATGATGTTTGTTTGTTGTGGAATGCTGAACTCGGTAATATGGCCTAAAAACAAAAATGTTGTTGTTCCGATTACCTGACCGACCTTGAATTCTGGTGCCGACCCAGTTTTTTTTGGGAGGTACGAATAAAATAAGCTTTCAGATACCATTGTTTTTCCCCGGCACCGACGGAATCGGTCATTCTGATAGAGGAAGTCGACATGATGGTCGCAAGCTTCATTGAATAAACAATTACACATTGATTAATGTGTTATTAGTTCGTAATTTACTTGTTTTTAAAAAAAAATAGAAGTAAATAAAACTTCTTACTTACCTACCCTAAATTTCAAAGAGGTGTAATCGGAACCACAACATTTTCTTTTATTTGGCCTATTCCATCTGAATGGTGATGGCCTGGAAGTAATCAAGTGTGCACCATAAGAAAACAGTGATGGATATAATGAACTATTAGACATGTCAAAATGACGAGACATGACAAGATCAAAATACAAACAACCTAGTCATGTCTTTTAACAGATCCTATTATATGAAAGCGTCCGCTCGTCACGCCAGACCCAGGTTCGATTCCCCACATGGGTACAATGTGTAAAGCCCATTTCTGGTGTTCCCTGTCGTGATATTGCTGGAATATTGCTAAAAGTGGTGCAAAACCATACTCATTCCTATTATATGACCAGCATGTTATGGTTTCTGGGGACACTTTGTAACTGAAAGCAGTTTTAGTACTAAGGTGATATTTCAGCATAGACATCAGATCAGATAGTGCTAAAATCACTAAGTGGAATGGCATCCACGTCCCCACAAGGTCTATCTCCTTATGTCAGTCTGTGGTTAGCCAGTAACTGGGTGATTAGTCCAAGTCTTCCATGCACTGTACAACTATGGTCATGCACTTGACCTCCGATATAGCGCTGACTGTCCCATCTCTGTACCAATGATCCAGGTGTGTGTGTGTGATTCCATTTCATGTTATCATGTGATATCAAACAATGGCAATGTGATGATATACTGATATATATTTATATACACCAATATAGAGATGATTGTGGTGTCACTGAAGACAACTGACAAATGGTATCCCCCATTATGAATACTTCAGACTTTAGTGACACTTGAAATTGTATCCACAGGGGTTTAGGAAACATCCCATAATCCATAACACAGGCTAGGTACCTGGTGGTAAAAAGACATTTACTGTGGAGAATGGGTCCCTGTTTGAACCCTATTGACATCCCATACTGTTTGTTACTTTCATGAGTGTTTCTTGACAGATCTGTGAGAAAATCAAAAGTATGTTGGGATATTTTTGTAACATATTTAGTCTTTTTCATACATGTATTAATCAGCAGTACTGACATTTTGACAGTATTATTTTTATCATTTCCAATAATAATGTCTTCTATATATGACATTAAAGTCACCAGTGCCAGTAATTGGATGTGTTGCGTATTTCTTTTGTAATGAAAGAAAGGAAATATCAGTCCTCTATTTAACCACAGTTTTTCTTATCTGTACTTGGAAAAGGTCGTCTTCTGTAATATTGACACAATGTCACTGATCTGCACTGGAACCCCCCGGTACTCAGCATGAACTGTAGACAGAGTGCCCTTGATCTGCACTGGGAACCCCTGGACCTCTGTGTGAATTGTAGACAGAGCGTCCTTGATCTGCACTGGGAACCCCCAGTCCTCAGTGTGAACTGTAGACAGAGCGCCCTTGATCTGCACTGGGAACCCCCAGTCCTCTTTGTGATCCCCCAGTCCTCTTTGTGATCCGTAGAAAGAGAGCCCTTGATCTGCACTGGGAACCTCGGTCCTCTCTGTGATCTGTAGACAGAGCGCCCTTGATCTGCACTGGGAACCCCCAGTCCTCAGTGTGAACTGTAGACAGAACGCCCTTGATCTGCACTAGGAACCCCTGGACCTCTGTGTGAATTGTAGACAGAGCGTCCTTGATCTGCACTGGGAACCCCCAGTCCTCAGTGTGAACTGTAGACAGAGCGCCCTTGATCTGCACTGGGAACCCCCAGTCCTCTTTGTGATCCGTAGAAAGAGCGCCCTTGATCTGCACTGGGAACCTCGGTCCTCTCTGTGATCTGTAGACAGAGCGCCCTTGATCTGCACTGGAACCCCCAGTCCTGTGTGAACTGTGGACACAGCGCCCTTGATCTGCACTGGAACTCCCAGTCCTGTGTGAACTGTAGACAGAGCGCCTTGATCAGCACTGGGAGCCCATGGTCAACTGTGCTTGGGAAATGATAGGTGGATCTTGTACTGAACCACCCAAAGGGTATGCTCGAGCCTATCCACGTCACACACAGTAACAACCATTTGTGTTTATCCTGACTTCAAGGATGAAAGACAGTCAACCACTGCATGATAATGAACACACGTTTCCTTTCTTTTCTTCGATGCAAGTAATATGTGGTTGTTTATCATGATTAGCAATGCGGGATGAGAACAAACACAAATTGATCCAAACATGAAATGTATACTCTAAAACCATCTATCTGGTTTTCTCTAAAAGAAGAGGGAAAGATACATAGTAAAATGTATTACTATTGACAAATATCATTCATTATGGATAACGTTTTTTTGCAAGCATGCAGGTAACACGAGTAAACATTTCTTCCCAGTTGTTACAGCGTGTCAGCTTGAAGTGCAAGGGAAGCCTGAAGTTATGCAAGTCTTTACCACATTGGTCAAACCGACAAGCAGGGATATGGTTCTTATAAACATTGAAAACAATTGGGGTTTGAACATATAGTGATATATTTTTTGTGATATATTGAGTGCCCAGAGGAAAACATAAAAAAGAAGTCGGTGGTGTTTACAACAGAACACCCCAAGCAGGTCCTCTCGTATAAATTGCTTATTTTCAAAAGTAATTAAATTGATCTGGTCATCTGTCGATGATTTCAAGAACATTTTCAGCTTTGGGCACAAAAGTTCTGCATACAAACTTAGCTCGCTTGCCTCCGGTGGGTGCTATGTCTTAGATGAAGTGGAAAAATCGAGACGAAAAGAACTGAGTCATCTATTGCAACTATTGGAATTAGCGAGGTTTGACCATTCCTGTGGTGCTACAAGAGAAAAGTCAACAAACGAAGTCACCATATGACAAACTCCTTTTGTTTATTGACCTGAGAGTAGTTTTCATAAGCTGATTCCTGCTTCAGATAGAACTGGAGTCCATATTTCCCACAAAGTTCGACTGGACAATGCAAGCACTCTCTCCAGCCACCGTCCTGCCTCGGCAAATCCCAAGCTGCAGTAGGGGTTGTCCGTCTGCTGGGACACCGCGTGTTGACCGAGCACATAATACTGACAGAAAGTGATGCACACTGCATGGTACAACATTGTCATATCCTCGATGTTCAGCGGTCTGATGGACAGGTAGCCGGACAGAATGCGACCCCCAATTTGTAGGGCTTCTTGGTCGGAGCAATTGCAGTTCGTCATAGCATCAGCTATCAGTCGACCTACCTCGAACACTCGGTAAGTATAACAAATGTCATTGAAATCGATTATTCCAAATATTGTCTTTGAATCTAAAGAAGCTACAGACGTTTTGAAGTCAACAGTAGCTGGATGAAGTATGATGTTGTAGTCTTGGAAATCCCCGTGGATCACACCTGAAACAAGTACAATATGTTACAAAACGTTGATTTAATAATGTAAAACTATTGGTAATGTTGCAACGAGGTTGATGTGTTAACGTCAAACAGTATCATTGGTGATCTGCTACATATACAAGTTGGTCGTCACCGAGAGACGACTTCAGCAGCTTGGGTGTGCGATTTTCTAAACAGCCCAATGTTTAGTGGATTAAATGATATATTAGCGAGGTAGTTTGATCAACATGTACTTCTGACGTATAATATGTGTAATACTGGGCATCCTCGTTGATAACGTCACTGTGGAATTTGGAGATAAGCCACTTGCTGTATTACTGCATTTAGAAAATACGTTGTCCTGTCCGTTACTCATATTCTAAATCAGTCTGTAAAGGCCGGTCTTAAGTATCCAACGGTCAAATGGATGGAATATTCCCATGTTAAGCAGTAAAGAATGGATGCCCTTAAGTGTTAGTGTTCCTGATGTGAAATATAGTTCCAACCCAAACAATATTTACATGTATACTTTAACAAATCGTACAGTGGTCGGAAGTTTAATTAATATGTTTTCTCAGAAAAAGAACATTTTATGGTTTGTACAGGTTCAACTTAAGGGGAAAACCATAACAATACAATATTTTGTCATATTTGTATATAAGTCGCAATAATTTCTCGCATAAATGATTGTGAGTGGATTATACACATTCTATAATACCATGTTGAAGAAACATTACTGGTACATGACACGTGTCCATGTTAAGACACAGAATTTACTACTGCCACTTGTCCATGTTAAGACACAGAATTTACTACTGACACGTGTCCATGTTAAGACAGAATTTACTACTGACACGTGTCCATGTTAAGACACAGGATTTACTACTGACACGTGTCCATGTTAAGACAGAATTTACTACTGACACGTGTCCATGTTAAGACACCAGGATTTCCATGTTAAGACACAGGATAGAATTTACTACTGACACGTGTCCATGTTAAGACAGAATTTACTACTGACACGTGTCCATGTTAAGACAGAATTTACTACTGACACTTATCCATGTTAAGACACAGGATTTACTACTGACACGTGTCCATGTTAAGACACAGAATTTACTACTGACACGTGTCCATGTTAAGACAGAATTTACTACTGACACGTGTCCATGTTAAGACAGAATTTACTACTGACATTTATCCATGTTAAGACACAGGATTTACTACTGACACGTGTCCATGTTAAGACACAGGATTTACTACTGACACTTGTCCATGTTAAGACACAGAATTTACTACTGACACGTGTCCATGTTAAGACACAGAATTTACTACTGACACGTGTCCATGTTAAGACACAGAATTTACTACTGACTTCCAGAATGAGTGACATGTATACTATCGTCATCTTGGGATGTTACCTTACCTCGCTCCATGGCATGACCCCGCTCCTTCAGGGAGGATTCAACGTTCTTTATCACTGCTCGAATGTCCTCTGACAACGTCTCCTCCTGTCGTGAAACAGATGATTAATTACTAGCCTACCAGCAGATACGTTTGCCTCACAGAATGTATGTCATGTAAATCTTATGCCTGATGTACATGTGCCTCTCTCTCTCTCTCTCTCTCTCTCACACACACACACACACATTTGAATGAAATGTGCTTCATGTTCTATATCTTCTTCATAATGTGCGTGCTGTCAATGTGCTTCATGTATTTAGGCTACGTGCATATGCGTTCCATGTATATATTATGTATTATGTGATATGCAAATCCTATTTCTGTAAAACATGCTCTTAAATTCTCTCAAAGGGCATGATGGTTCTGTGGACATCTTCTCTAAAGTAATTAACAACATGAAAGAATCCCGGATGGAACTCAACCCCAAAGAGTACTAGAATTTGTACTTTACAAAGAAAGTGTAAATCCAAATATAACATATGCTATAGCATGAAAGAAGTTCATCCTCGATAATCTCCAGGGTATACGATACGACTACTCTCCAATATACCCTGGATGCATCCACGGCTTGGCCCGATGATTTTATTATCTCCCTTGGCTGGCTTTTTATCCAATCAGGTGTCTACGCTGGGAAGTTGAGCGAACCAATCACAACTCACTTTCGCTTCTTAAATTACCTAACCGTTTACACTTGGCAACACAATTGATGCAGAGGGTACTCTGAAAGATGTGAAAGGAGTTCTTTTATATATGTTTGAAAGTTTCAGATCTGTCAATTTGTCTGTATTATTTCTCCAAAAATCTGAGTGGTACTGCGAACAAACCTTCGCGACTGCGACCGCTATCTTTGTTGGCAAGCTCGGATGTAACGGTGGCTTAGCTGATTGGCTACTGTGAGAATGCGGAGCCAGCAAATGGAGGTAATATAATTATCGGGCCAAGCCGTGGATGCATCCAGGGTATAGTGGCGAGTGATCGTAACGTATACCCTGGAGATTATCGAGGATGGAAAGAAGTTACGTTTGGCATTTATACTCATGGAAACGAATAAGGGAAAACATGAAAGTACAAGTGTTCCTTTATTTACTTCCAGATTTTAACTCACAGGGCAATATAAAGCATGACAAGAAACCCGGAAAAGAGTACAGGAACACTTGCACTTTCGTATGTTCCTTTATTCGTTTCCATGAGTATGTGTTCTCCCTTATGACAAAATAATTAGATTGTAGTTTGAGTTTTGAATATCTATGCTGACACCAACAATTTACAGTGTCAGTCCTGGTTGAAACTACTGACAGATAAACAATCAGTGCTTTGACACTGTTTCACTGATTTGTACGGTATATAGCAAAATTCCACATGTATGTGCGTACCATATCCAAGTAACACTGAACATGGTGCTTGTTTATACTGACGGGTTAATGGACGTATATTTGTATCACACAGCATAGAAAGGTCATGAACATTTACCGACCAACTGCCCCCATGTGGCATGGCACTCACTTCCGGGTATGGCATAAACTGAGAGAGTAGACCAGCATTCTCCCCCATCCACTCGCTGTGACTCTCCACTGTCAGGTCGGTCTCGGGGTAGTCCTGTATCAATGAATGCAGAACAAATCATCACAAGAACGGTTCTTCACGACCAGGAGGCACACTTATAGGTTACAAACAAATGCAGGTTCAAGTATTGTTTGTAAAAGAGGCGGCTGAGTGGTTAAATCGATGACTTTGTGCTGGCGATTATGTGCCGGATGCGACGCATTTGATAGCCTACTGACAGGGGTATAAAAACCTCTTGAATTATGTATCTAGAATAGGGGTTTCGGTGTCCCCTCTGCATTAAAGCTCTTTAAAACACTGGCACTTCCATACGCGACATAAAAGCTGTTATCCTACCTCATGTAAGAATGTCCATCTCTGATTGGTTTACGTGACTTTTAAAAAATTACCATGTATACGACCGTGCACCGCCCAAGCGGGGTATAAAACTTTGCGAGGGAGAATAAATCATTTATAACCCGCCCCTTTTGAAAAACATGCATCCACGGCAGTCAGTAAACCGTAAACCAGTGGTTCAGATCGACTAGTAGGTAGGTACCATGGTATATGATTGAATTTCAGTTTGTTTTTATGTTTAAAATTTCATAAAAAGAGATTTAATCATTCGGTAAGTGAATTCGTTGTAGCAATATGATTGGGGGTATACGGGGTTTTATGCGTCCCTCGCCTCCGGCTGGGTGGATAAAACCTAACACCTGACGCATATAACCCCGTATAACCCTCATCACAATGCTACAACATATGATAATACATGTAATGTAGACTGTTCAAACACTGGGAACACTCTGCTCACATGTGTGTGCCTCTTTGTCATAGTGCACAATGGTATTTGGTATCCAAACAAGAAACATGACCAGTGCACTTCACCATAACAGATATATGTATATGGTCAGTTACCATGTTACCATGTGATAATTGGGATACGATGACACCTGTCTACCAAGTCAGCAGGCCCGATCCCGTTAGTCGCCTCATATAATACGATAGGCATGGGTTGCTGAAGACCAATTCTATCCCGGATCTTCACGGGCAATAACACAAGGACTAGTCGGCTGTCAGTGTACTGTCTGAGAGGGGTATCCATAGCAACCGTGGCATGGTACCTCATGTTTCCTTCTAGATTATCAGGTACGTTCCTAATCATCATCGTTTTTATTTGTTTATCATGGGACGGCTGCTCACTCTTTACCTCTGGAAATATTGCAACAGCTGTAATCAAATGCCACTCAACCGTAACGTACTCAGCCTTCAATTTGAACACTCTTTGCGTCAGTCTGAACTCTCTCTATCTCTCTTTATCGCGACTTTGTTTATTTTAGGTTTAATTTAAAGACTTTGGTCAAAACTTAAAACCGGAGGAAAACCGGCCGCCACGAGTACGTAATCTGCGCCAATATCACCTGCAGTGCAGCATGAAGTTGCCCTAGGAGAACCCCAAGACACTTGTACATATCCCCGCAGAACAGCTGTTGGCACAGGCCAAGTGGCTCTCCAGGAACAAACGTCATGAGGCGGACCACGCACGTTTCGTCTGGACCATCTGGACATTGCATGGAAGAGATGAAAAATGATGATTAGAAGTATTGATTCGCTTCCCTGGTATCCATTCTTTTATTCAATTTTCAACAAATCGCAATATTACTGGCGCATTTCTTATCGGGCCAATCTCAGCAGTAAGCAGCAACAGATTGATTCGGAGCAGCTGATAAGTGCGTTTATTGCATTTCAAGACGGGACGTACCCAATACACGTCTCTAGGTTATCAATAATCAGTCATTCTAGGTCACTTTAGGATTTTTCTTTGCTTTCATTAGGAACAGAAGTTCAGTGTATGAAATAAGCCAGAAATCCAGCCAGATATCAGGGCTGGTAACTTCAAAATGTTGCCAGCCCCAAATGGATTTAACCAGACCAAATATGGTGAATTTACTCAGATGTATGGAACATCTAAAATTTTACCAGACCATCCGGGGCTAGCTGTAAATGTACCGTTCAAATCTATCCCATATTTCATACACTGAACAGAAGTAATATTCCTGATGCGCATCTCATGGGATAATGAGAAAGTGAGTGAGTTGGGTTTTACGCCGCTTTTAGCAATATTCCAGCAATACACGGCGGGGGACACCAGGAATGTGCTTCACACTTTGTACCCTTGTGGGGAATCAAACCCGGGTCTTCGGCGTGACGACCGAACGCTTTAACCACTAGGCTACCCCACCGCCCCAATGGGATAAAGAACATGAATATGCAGATTTAAGGAATATGTTCCAGTTAACTTGCTAACATTGATTTTGTTTGTGCAGAATATACACTGAACGCAGAAACAAAAACCAATTCGTTCAAACAGTTCAGTTTAAATGCTTAACGCGCCCATCACAAGTTGCCCGGAGAACTACTATGAAAAAGGATGGCAGGCTGGGGAAAACGAAGTAACAAGAGTTACTTCCCTTGGTGTATGTTGCCTTCCGCCCAAAGAAGATGTGCCGATAGTTTCGTTTGGAGCAGTCATTTGTCTTTCAGATTTCCATTAACAGTCAGCATATGAGATTGTAAAGATATTATCATATGTAATTATGTAAATTTTAAAACTGATATGGCTTAATTAGTTTGACCAACCGTTTAACTCTCCCCAAACACTGAGACGAACATGCTGCATGGTGAGAATTGACCTACCCGCCTTTCCGATTGGGAAGGTTGACTTCCAGGTATGTAATCCATCTCTGTTGGCAACAGTTACTGGGCATATGAAGCCACATCCTCGCAGATAGTTGACCACACCCAGCTGTGCTTGTACCCGCTTGTCATTCTCCGATTCGTCAGGGTTGACTATTTTGAACACGTACTCTCGACCATCCGTAGTGGTCACCTTGTAATTCCTATCTACAAACGAGTCCAGTTGACGCAAACACTTCGTGTCCAGCGAGTAGTGGGTCTGGAGGATATCCCTGACTTTGCCCTCCGTCACGACCGGACGTCGACTGGCCGACATTACTCAGCAGCACGAACCAAGTAAATAGAGGATATTATGAGCGCTTCTTTAACAAATGAAGTGTCTTCTCTACTTCTCTACACAACATGCATATAGTCATAGTCATTGATACAACCACAATTACGCAAGCAAAAAGCTAAAAAAACTCCAAAAAACAGAACCAAAGAAAAAAGGAAACCCGACAAGAGCAAACATGAAACAAAACAAAACGTTCACTGAGAGACACATGGGATGAATAACATTTACTGAGAGACACGTTCTGCTATATAACATTTACTGAGACGTGCTGCTATATAACATTTACTGTGGGACACGTGGGATGTATAACATTTACTGAGAGACACGTGCTGCTATATAACATTTACTGAGAGACACGTGCTGCTATATAACATTCACTGAGACACGTGCTGCTATATAACATTCACTGAGACACGTGCTGCTATATAACATTCACTGAGACACGTGCTGCTATATAACATTTACTGAGACACGTGCTGCTATATAACATTTACTGAGAGACACGTGCTGCTATATAACATTTACTGAGAGACACGTGCTGCTATATAACATTCACTGAGAGACGTGCTGCTATATAACATTCACAGAGACGTGCTGCTATATAACATTTACTGTGGGACACTGGGATGTATAACATTTACTGAGAGACACGTGCTGCTATATAACATTTACTGAGAGACACGTGCTGCTATATAACATTTACTGAGAGACACGTGCTGCTATATAACATTCACTGAGAGACACGTGCTGCTATATAACATTCACTGTGGGACACGTGGGATGTATAACATTTACTGAGAGACACGTGCTGCTATATAACATTTACTGAGACACGTGCTGCTATATAACATTCACTGAGACACGTGCTGCTATATAACATTCACTGTGGGACACGTGGGATGTATAACATTTACTGAAGATACGTGCTGCTATATAACATTTACTGAGACACGCGTGCTGCTATATAACATTCACTGAGAGACACATGGTGTTATATAACATCCACTGAGAGACATGGTGTTATATAACATTACCGAGTGACACGTGCTGCTATATAACATTCACTGACACACGTGCTGCTATATAACATTCACTGGGACACGTGGGATGTATAACATTCACTGAAGACACGTGCTGCTATATAACATTTACTGAGACACGTGCTGCTATATAACATTTACTGACAGACGCGTGCTGCTATATAACATTCTCTGAGACACGTGCTGCTATATAACAGTCACTGAGACACGTGCTGCTATATAACATTTACTGAGAGACACGTGCTGCTATATAACATTTACTGAGAGACGTGCTGCTATATAACATTTACTGAGAGACACGTGCTTCTATATAACATTCACTGAGACACGTGCTGCTATATAACATTCACTGTGGGACACGTGGGATGTATAACATTTACTGAGAGACACGTGCTGCTATATAACATTTACTGAGAGACACGTGCTGCTATATAACATTCACTGAGACACGTGCTGCTATATAACATTCACTGTGGGACACGTGGGATGTATAACATTTACTGAAGACACGTGCTGCTATATAACATTTACTGAGACACGCGTGCTGCTATATAACATTCACTGAGAGGCACATGGTGTTATATAACATCCACTGAGAGAGACATGGTGTTATATAACATCCACTGAGAGAGACATGGTGTTATATAACATTACCGAGTGACACGTGCTGCTATATAACATTCACTGAGACATGTGCTGCTATATAACATTCACTGGGACACGTGGGATGTATAACATTCACTGAAGACACGTGCTGCTATATAACATTTACTGAGAGACACGTGCTGCTGTATTACATTCACTGAGAGACACATGGTGTTATATAACATCCACTGAGAGACGTAGTGTTATATAACATTAAAGAGCGACACTTGCTGCTATAAAACGTTTATTGAGAGACAAGTGGTGCTGTATAACATTCACTGAGAGACACATGGTGCTGTATAACATTCACTGAGAGACACATGGTGCTGTATAACATTCACTGAGAGACACATGGTGCTGTATAACATTCACTGAGAGACACATGGTGCTGTATAACATTCACTGAGAGACACATGGTGCTGTATAACATTCACTCAGAGACACGTGGAGCCAGGCGCGTAGCAAGCCAATTTTTACGTGTAAGCCCGATAGGTTGCAAAGCTTTTAGTTTAGATAGTATTAAGGATTTGCCCAACCTTTTTAGCAACAATCATGTGTAAGCTCTGGCTTTTCTTTCATAATGGCAGCTACGCCCCCTGGTTGCTACACATACATAACATTTATGCGGGTCATTGATAACATTCATAGAGGGACACGTGGTATATTCACAGAGGAACGTGTGATACTTCCGTGGCATGTGATGAGGGACGAGACGTCACAGTTCTCTTTTCTTGGCGGACACATGTTAAACACATGTATTGTGAAGTAATAACACAGAACCTGTAAAGAAACTATTCTGAAACTGTCTCTTTCGAGAAATCTATACCAAGCGTTGACGTGAAAGTGAAACATTTTTGCAAGTTTTTTTACAGCTTGAATACCATTTGCTACTGCTGCAGAAAGATTGATATAAGGTTTGGACTGGGGTCGTACCGTGCTGTCTCCCAACAGTCCTTGACTGGCCGAGCGACGTTATCCAATGAGAAACACTGTCATGGTTGTTATGGTGACGCAAGGTAGCGAGGGAGCACTCGAGTAATCCAAGAATTAAGTCGATATTCTGAGTAAAAAAACCTTTTGTTGAGAACGTTGATGATTTAATGAAGTACGAAGAGATTTCTTGCAAATGCCAAAAATAAAGAATCGGATGACAAACCCACTGATCGGATCACATTTACCTCATCACAAAACAAAATTTATAACAGAATGTATTCACTGGCAAAAAATACAGACTGAAAGACGATACATTTCCGAGCGTTGCAAGTAATAGATGCAAGGAAATTGGGGATGTAACTTGTAATCATTTTAGTATGAGGTGGGCAAATACATACATGGAAATACACACATTTACACATACATGCACATTTTTATCTGAATATTTTCAGCAGTTTTACAGTATATTGTTCCCCAAATCTCTTACCCATAACACATAATCCTGAAAACGTCAGTATTTTTCTGAGCGTCTGACTTCGGAATCGTGCAAAAGGATTCTGTTTTTAGATTTATTTTGATTAATGAAAGGGCTTTGTCGCCTTTATTGGCTCATGCACATGAATCCATATACACATAATTGCTCATCACCCACCCACAGAGATCCCAGCCCCTGAACCACATTATTTTCCCCTTTCTGCAATGTAAAGCCCTAAATGAAGCAAGACAGGATTTTTCTTACGTTCGGGAGGTAACTGGGGTTATATCTAACTTTAATAGGAGTTATTTGGTTACAATCATATCTTTTCAGAGACTAAGCGCTGCAAATGAATGAATCTAAAGTCAACGAACTCAGGCGATATAACATGTACCCGATACTATGTATGAACGACTTGTTGTTCTACAGTAGGGGGTACAACGCAATTTCTACAAGACATGTAAACACTTGCTCACAGGCATAGGAAATCTCATTACCGTGTGTTTGTGACGCGTAACCTTGAATCGCAAAATAAAATTCTACGAAGTTTCAAAAGCGGGGAGAATGTTATCTTGAGTCACATTTGATTAAACTGAGACCTGTTCACTTCTTTGTCTGTCATACGCCAGTACTGGATCGATCATGTCAAACATCCTTACAGCTTGGAAGCAATAGAAAATGAAAAAACCCAACTAGCTGTCTGTCATATGAACAGCGTTTCAAACATAATGAGACCGTTATTACCCTCGTTCTCTGTGTAGAAGACACCCAACTAATTACAACTTTCACAGTGAAGTGATTTCTTGCGTGTTGTAATTGTGGCGGTAATTGTGGCCAGACACTGAGATGCTAATGGATCAATTATGATTTTGATAATGTCCACATGTTCTGAGAGTACGTCGACATCCCATTGATAGCCGGTTTTTTCTGAACTTAACATGGCAGAACAATCTTAAAATGTTGTTTTTCTCAATGTCATCGAACTTTTGTCGTAAGACACAAATTATTAATTAGAATGCTAAATTAATGTCCAAAAGAAACGATACCACGTGTTTGAAAGGACATTAAAGAAAAACAAAACGATACAGAAATATTTTAGATTGGTATATTTCATATGAGAATTTTTTTCTACAACACGTGTACAAAAAATCATTTCAATCTATCATTTACAATCATCAGGACAGACCTGTAGAGACGTGACGGGTCCAAAATAAAAAATTCTGTTGGCTCGCTGTTGACTCGAGGTGTCAGGAACGCTCCGCGGAAGGGGCGACGTGGTCGGATAGCATGTGCCTGCAATCTCCCGTACACGGTTTGTCGACTTATCTCGTGTCCCAGTGCCGTCCTTGACGTTAACGTCGCCGTGATGAAGCGGTTCCAGAGAGGAAGTATCCGGATTTGACGGTCCTCAATAGGCGTGGTCACCCGTGCCTCCCGCTTCTCGGCCGGTCTCTTGCCCAACCTGTTTGACGCATCCGCTGCATTAACCTGGTGGCGGTTATGCGCGCGCATCCTGACCTTCCGGCTACGTCGCTGTGCGTTGCTCCCTGTTGGACCATTCCAGTGACTGTCTCTCTATCAGTCGATGTCAACCGTGGCATTCCTTTTGTGTGCTTTTTGTTGCTGTGACCCCAACGTGTCGAGTCAGCAGTTTTACACAGTTAAACTGCACATGCATTTCGTGCTACGGGACGTAACATCATTTTGCAAACTACGCGTTTTTTCTCTCAGTTGATCAAATGTTCCCGGATTTATCGATCGAATACATTTGTTTTTGAATATGGGAAACGCTCAAGTATGTTTTCATACAAAAAAGAAAACTTAAATTAAAAATATATTGAAAAATGTTTGGTATCGTTTCTTTTGGGCATTAGTTTATATGTGTTGAGTTGTTATTTTATCAATTTATGTGTAAACGCAAATACTCCATACTATTCGGTATGTAAAATCTCGGTGCTCTTTTGCCGGGTAAAGAGCGATTTAACAAGTAGAAACTGGTCACTCAAGGATGCCCATTTGTTTTGAAGCTGGGGATCGCATTCATTTATAGACACAATGATTTAATGATTTTCACTAAAAGCATAGAAGACAGACTGTGCTTTTAACAGAGACCTCTAATACTAATGGCATTTACCCCGTATTTTATTTACATGAATAGTTTAATATCGTACTCCAGTTAACAGGCGAATATTGCGACACCAGTCCAGACATTATCAGGCAACATTTCCCGACTTCAAGTATCGAGTAACACTGGCAAATAGTATATCTCCAGTTTATACGCAACCACAGCTTTCTATAGGGTCTCAGGTAGCTTATGCAATTTTATGACATTGCACTATGATTAGCTTGACTCTGTCAACACCCCACTGTTTAATCATGTACGCCCTGGTGATCGCGAGTCCTACTCAAGGTTGAGTAGAGGACCGCTGATTTTCGACCAATACACTGGCAGCGTAAGGTACATTGACTCGGGATAGCCCTTCCCTTCAAGTAAGCCCTCGACATCCAGGTTACTTCCAGTTTACACCTGTAGCCAAAGCAGCTTAAATAATGGCTCCCAGTTGTATGGCTCGGCTGAAGGTGAGCTGACATAATCAGCTCTATCAAACGCGCGCACTTGGAAGGTTGGCTAGGTCGGGGGAAGAACTGGGGCACAATCTCGGAGTGGGCGTCATCTCTTTCTGTGGATAGTACTGAACGTCCCGACACAGGCCAGCATACCAGGCTGGGTATCACCCACCTTCTTCCCTGAAGCTGGAACATACAGGTGAGGGGGAATGTTCACGTCTTGGGTTGAAATAACAAATGATAACCTAATGAAGATTTAAGTTATATAAGTGTTATTATATTCTGGGATTTTAATGGTTTTAGATTAAGTTAGATTTGATGCCACTTCCTTAACAAGGTATGGGAAATGCCGTGGTTATGTTATATGCTAGTTGATTTATATGACGTCATTTACCATTGTTTTCTTATTTGAAAAAGTACAGGCGAGTGAGGTTGGGTTGCATCGGTTTTGGACAACCCGAAAAAGATATCACTGATGAACACAAACATTTAAGAATACAACTATTTGGTGATCTACCAAATCATACTGTTTATGTGTATGACGCATAGTTATACTAACATATTTTCTGTACAACCCGAAGAAGATATCACTGATGATCTACCAAATCATACTATTTATGTGTATAACGCATAGTTATACTAACATATGTTTCTGACTACAACACATAAGAACACATAACAATATTACCATATGTATCGACTAGAACATATCTATATCACCACATGTATTGAGTAGAACACATAATTATATTACCAGATGTGTGGACTGTAACACATGATTATATTACCAAATGTATAGAGTAGAACACATAATTATATTACCAGATGTGTGGACTATAACATAATTATATCACCAGATGTATAGAGTAGAACAAATAATTATATTACCAGATGTATGGACTGGAACATAAAATTATATTACCAGATGTGTGGACTGGAACACACAATTATATTACCAGATGTATGGATTAGAACACACAATTATATTACCAGATGTATGGACTGGAACACATAATTATATTGCCAGATGTATGGACTGGTCACACAATAATATTACTAGATGTATGAACTAGAACACATGATTATATTACTAGATGTATCAACTAGAACATCATTATATCACCATATGTATAGAGTAGAGCACATAATAATATTACCAGATGTATGGATTAGAACACATAATTATATTACTAGATGTATGGACTAGAACACATAATTATATTGCCAGATGTATGGATTAGAACACATAATTATATTACTAGATGTATGGACTAGAACACATAATTATATTGCCAGATGTATGGACAAGAACACATAATTATATTACTAGATGTATGGACTAGAACACATAATTATATTGCCAGATGTATGGACTAGAACACATGATTATATTACTAGATGTATCAACTAGAACATCATTATATCACCATATGTATAGAGTAGAGCACATAATAATATTACCAGAAGTGTGGACCAGAACACATAATTATATTACCAAATGTATGTACTAGTACACATAAATATATTACCAGATGTATGGATTAGAACACATAATTATATTACTAGATGTATGGACTAGAACACATAATTATATTGCCAGATGTATGGATTAGAACACATAATTATATTACTAGATGTATGGACTAGAACACATAATTATATTGCCAGATGTATGGACAAGAACACATAATTATATTACCAGATGTATGGACTGGAACACATAATTATATTGCCAGATGTATGGACTAGAACACACAATTATATTACTAGATGTATGAACTAGAACACATGATTATATTACTAGATGTATCAACTAGAACATCATTATATCACCATATGTATAGAGTAGAGCACATAATAATATTACCAGAAGTGTGGACCAGAACACATAATTATATTACCAAATGTATGGACTAGAACACATAGTCATGCTACCATGACATTATGTGTCACTATATGTATTTTTCTAGAACATAATAATATCGCCATATGTATAGAGTAGAACACATATATATATATAACCACATGCAAAGACTCGAACACATAAGTATATGACCGCACGTGTAGACCTGCACGAACAATATTACTACCATATGTTTTGACTAGAACACTTCATTATATTACCATGTCTTTTAATGAGAACACAATCATATTGCGTTGACTAGAATAAATGACAATTACTCATGACTATATTTCCATAGTTAATGGCTAGATTACGACAAAGGTCGGCTGGACACAACATATTACCACAAAATATTGACTATATACATTACCGTCTAACCCCATAAAGCTGATTATATACACGAGAACACATCTCAAATAAGGATTACTATGTGTATGATTGCATGAACCCCATAATACCGACTACTAGTATATATACTGTATATATACACGCTAACAGGAACCTCACACTGACCCCTTCAATACAACATCAGGAACTCAATGAATGCTGAATATACTGACTATATACAGAACATAAACCCTATGATACTGACTATATACAGAACATAAACCCTATGATACTGACTATATACAGACCATAAACCCTATGATACTGACTATATACAGACCATAAACCGTATGATACTGACTATATACAGAACATAAACCGTATGATACTGACTATATACAGAACATAAACCGTATGATACTGACTATATACAGAACATAAACCGTATGATACTGACTATATACAGAACATAAACCCTATGATACTGACTATATACAGACCATAAACCGTATGATACTGACTATATATAGAACATAAACCCTATGATACTGACTATATACAGACCATAAACCCTATGATACTGACTATATACAGACCATAAACCGTATGATACTGACTATATACAGACCATAAACCCTATGATACTGACTATATACAGAACATAAACCCTATGATACTGACTATATACAGAACATAAACCGTATGATACTGACTATATACAGAACATAAACCCTATGATACTGACTATATACAGACCATAAACCGGTATGATACTGACATAAACCATAAACCCTATGATACTGACTATATACGGACCATAAACCGTATGATACTGACTATATACAGAACATTACTGACTATATACAGAACATAAATCCGTATGATACTGACTATATACAGAACATAAACCCTATGATACTGACTATATACAGAACATAAACCCTATGATACTGACTATATACAGACCATAAACCGTATGATACTGACTATATATAGAACATAAACCCCATGATACTGACTATATACAGAACATAAACCCTATGATACTGACTATATACGGACCATAAACCGTATGATACTGACTATATACAGAACATAAACCCTATGATACTGACTATATTATATACAGAACATAAACCCTATGATACTGACTATATACGGACCATAAACCCTGTGATACTGACTATATACAGAACATAAACCCTATGATACTGACTATATACAGACCATAAACCCTATGATACTGACTATATACAGAACATAAACCCTATGATACTGACTATATACAGAACATAAACCCTATGATACTGACTATATACAGACCATAAACCCTATGATACTGACTATATACAGAACATAAACCCCATGATACTGACTATATACAGAACATAAACCCTATGATACTGACTATATACGGACCATAAACCCTGTGATACTGACTATATACAGAACATAAACCCTATGATACTGACAATATACAGAAAATTAACCCCTATACTGACTATATACGGACCATAAACCCTATGATACTGACTATATACAGAACATAATCCCTGTGATACTGACTATATACAGACGGGCCGGTGGGGTAGGGTAGTGGTTAAAGCGTGGCTCGTCACGCCGAAGACCCGGGTTCGATTCCCCACATGAGTACAACGTGTGAAGCACATTTCTGGTGTCCGCCGCCGTGATATTGCTGGAATGTTGCTAAAAGCGGCGTAAAACCACACTCACTCACTCACTATATACAGAACATAAACCCTGTGATACTGACTATATACAAAACATAAACCCTTTGATACTGACTATATACAGAACCTAAACCCTATGAAACTGACTATATACATATCGTGAACTATATGATATTGACTGTGTGCTGGATAAAAACCCCGATGATATTGACTAAAGGCTTGATAACACGAACTATATTAAATAGAACTGATTGGACTTCATATCCGTCCGTATGTAAACTACTTATATAGTCTCGAGAATTGTGTTTAGACACAAACGCTGTTTGATTTTAAAGAATGCGCGGAAAGAATGGCATTACATTTTGCCATATACCAACTGCCATATTGCTTTAGATTTTACACAAAGGAGACGGATAGAATGAAACTTAATTGCCTTGGCAGTCACAAACACAGCGACAATATCCGTGCTATACTACTGGGTGCATTGATAAGAAACTTTTGTAGAGCAAGTGTTGAGATCATGAAATATAACATTAGTGTGTCAATGAAGCCAGAGGAATATTGGAAAAAGACACACAAGCAGGTATAGTGTTACCCCTTCCTCAGCGGGTGGCGCACACATTTCACGCTCTGTGATTGTCTATAACACCAGAGATTAGGCTTAGAGGCTACTGCGGAGTGGGAGACCCGTAGGGTAAGATCAACACCGAGATTACCTTACAGCCTGATACTGTTTCCTACAATCAGGCAGTAAATGCAATCATATGAAGGCATATAAATAGATGGGCATCTATACAGGTCGATAGACATTAAACCTTTGGATATATGTTCACATTCCATCGACAATCAGTAAAGCGAATAAAATGATATGCCGTCCCTGTACGGATTCAAGGTTAGAGGAGGAACCCAGGAACGCCATCTTCTGGTACCATTCTTGTCTTACGGGATGATTGTACATCATTTGGTCAGGCCCGGTGTATTGTATGTCACCATATCTTGCAGCGTAAAACCCTTCGCACAGTCTGTGGTTTGTGTGGTTCAACTTCCAATTTCTACAGCTCGCCTACCATTTTCTAGTACGTTCTAGTACGTATGAACGTCAACCTAGAGTGAGTGAGTGAGTGAGTATCGTTTTACACCGCTTTTAGCAATATTCCAGCAATATCGCGGCGGGGACACCAGAAATGGGCGTCACACATTGTACCTATGTGGGGAATCGAGCCCGGGTCTTGGCGTGACGAGCGAACGCTTTAACCACGAGGCTACTCCACCGTCCCA